TATACTCTTCTTTAATAGAGCCTACGAAATTAGTAATATACTTATAGATATAGCTATTTCGCTAGTAAATACTAACTAGAACTATAGAGCTTATCTATATATATACTAGAGTTCTAGTAAAGCTACTTAGTATAATTATCGATTCTTTCTAGTTACTTCTACTAATTCCTTTTAATTCTAATCTAGTTAGCCTATCTATAGAGTAAATATATAGTACTCTAATAATAAAAATATAAAGATAGTAGCTATAATACTACTTAGACTCTATATACTAAGTAAGTATAAGCTTACTACTATTAGCTATTATTAATATATAAAATAAAATTATAGGCTCGGAAAGTTTATTAGATACTATAGCTATTTTATTCTAGATACTTATTATAGACTAGTTAGCTCTATACTACGACTATATATCTTTACTTATTACCTTATAGATATTTTACTTTAAGAAGCTATATTCTTATATAATAAAGCTTATCTAATAGGCGATTTACGTATAGTATAGCTACTAGTATAATAATAGCTTATAGGCGACTTATTTTTTAAATATAAATTCTAGAGCTAGGCTATCTTTCGTATATTTATAGATATAGTATAAATAGTACTTTAAGTCTATAAACGACTATAGAATAGCTATATAGATAAGCGATAACGAATTAAAAGTAGACTTAGTTAGAGCTAATATAAAGTAGGTCTATTCTACTATATAAGATATATAAATATACTATAAGTAACTATCTATTCTATATTTTCTATTAAGTTACTATCGAATTAATAGTTCTTACTAGTTAGAGTAGTACTATTCCTATCTCTTACTATAGACTACTCTACCGAGTTTAGCCTAGCTAGATAAGAATACTAGGCGCTCTTTAATCTAGTTCTTATATATATTAAGTAATTAAAAGTTATAGATAGTAAGTAGATCTTAAGTTATTTTCTTTAAAATTACTAGACTTCTATAATATAATATTTTCTTTTTAGTAGGCTATTATACTTATTAGTATTTAGAATAGCTCTTTTTAGATTATATAGTAGTCCTATAGAATATAAAGTCTAACTATATATTTAGTACTAGCGTATTCTTTTCTACTAACTTATTCTTATTATTTACTCTAGAATATATTCGAATATAAAAGTATTATAGATCTCGAAGTTCTAAGTCTAGGATAGTCCTACTATATTACTTTATAGTTCTACTTATAGTAGAAATATAGAGCTCCTCGATATCTATACTAGAAATTATAGTCTAGTAGTAAAATTATAGGTATTATTATCTCTACTACTAAGCTACTTTATATATATATCGGATATAGCGTACCTATAGAAGAAACTTTATATATAATACGAGGCTATATCTCTTTTATCGACGTTTAGTAGTACTTCGTCTCTATATATTCTATATCTCGTAAAAGCTTTAGCTAGACGAAGTAGAGTTAAAATATATAGCTATACTTCCGTATAACCTAATAGGGAAGGTATCTAGGACCTAGATATATAGGACCGGTATACGAGTAATACGACGTAGTAGAGAGGTAAGGGTCGAATGCTTATACTTAATTATCGGCTCTAGGCCTTTAATAATACGATAATATATAATTCTTGTTCACCTTATAATCCGCATAGCGCAGCTCGTATCTCAAGCGCTCTGTATCTCTATCGCGAGCGAATAATAACGTCTCTGCGACCGGAGCACTTCTGCACACTTGCCTAGCAAGTAGAAAATGGCCCAGGAGCCCATCACAACGGCCATCTAATATCCATCGAAAACATAACTAGGCCACTCGTTTTCTTTCATGAAGTCGGCCTTCGTCTCGCCCAAACGCATCATGCTCCGACCCATGCCAGCGATGCCGATTCCCAAGGTGATGAGATTTCCCCATCGACTCCAATGCTGAAATAGGTCTTTTGCTGACATGAGACTGGGCTCAGACGCCATCGTTGTCAAATCGTCGTCGCGGCTCACTTCGGCTGCCTTCTTCGTGCGGAATCCTACCCAGGTGTGCTCTGCCAGTAGATAGATTGAAAACAGTACTTGCACCATGTATCCAGCTATGGCGACTTTGTTGGCGACTTCTGCGTCTTCTCTCGACAAGGAGGTAGCTATCAGTCCTGCGCCAGCGGCTTGCAAGACAATGATAATCGTGTTACATGACAGGTATGCTGGCCGCTGCCATTGAAGAGCCGGTACCCAGCAGAACGCTTCAGCACGAATCGCCCTGATGTATTGCGTGTGCGTCAAGGTAATGGTAAACATGAGAAGGGATGGTCCGAAGAGTAGCAAGACTTTCTGTGCATCAAACAGAGATTTACTACACGGATGCCATGCAGAGGCCAGCCGGGCGATGTATCCAACCAGTTGACCTGGGATGAATGTTAACAAGACCTGAGTCGATCATCTGCAACAACACTTACAGCAGCCGCCTAAGACCATGAATGCATTGTCCCATGTTCTGGTCTTGACCATATGCGTTGTGTGTGCACCCACGCCAACAGTGAAAAGGACAACAGCGACAGTAGCCAACGGAACGCTGGGAGTGTAGTATCGGTATGTAGACTCGCAGTCTAGAGCCAGTGTCGAATCCATCCCGAGAATCGAGAATCGAATAAGGCAGGTCCTGATTGAGCACAGGATCCGGGTGCTGGTGCAGGTTAGAGGGATGAAATTGAGGTTTCTGGGGACGCGAAGGTGAGGGCGCTTATGTATATCATAGCACGAACGTCAGAAGTCACAATAAACACCGAAGCACAAGGTCCAATAAACACAGTCGAGAGACAAGACTTGTGCAAAACTCCATTTGAAACGCCGTCAGCACGCCAGGTGCCCCTGTTTGTCATCTTCAACTACCTGCCAACAGGCTATGCCAGGCAGCACTCCTGCCATCAAATTTACCGAATGTGACCTCCAGTCTGTCAGTGGGGCGCAGTTGCCCCAATCTCTGTAGCCAAACCGTTGGGGCATTGCCAGCTATTCCTATTCCGTGATGTCAAGCCCAGTCGTTCTCAGCGTCCCCGGAGAGCTTGTAGCAGATGATGCGGCCTCTACGCAACCACAGTTCTTGGCTGAGTATGAGCGGGTCCTACCTGCTGCTACACGGCGACTTGAAGACGGAGTTTTGCGCAGCCTACCATCGAATATCGGGAACCTATACGCAACTTCGCTGGCGGCGCAGACTCTGCGCTACTGCGATTAGAGGGACATATGTCATCGATGCACTATAGAGGATACAGCAACTCGTGGCTCGTCCTCGTCTCATGAACCCGTGATGGTCTCTATCTACCTAGTCACCATAGCTCTGTTCCGAAGCCGTTCGCCAAACATCCCAAATAACATAGGAATGGGCGCAGCGCACAACGCAAGCAACCCGAAAAGGGTGTTACCCCAACCCAAGCCCAACCCGTCGTAAATGCTCAGCCCACTCAGTGGCAGGAGCGCACCGAGCAGGTTTCGTAGAATAGTGCTCGCAGCAATCGCACTGGCAGCATGATGATTGTAAGTATCCACCAGATACGTCTGGATGCACATCAAGATGATGATGACGCTGAACCCAATCACCGCAGTCCCAATCTGCGGGACAATCCAGTGTACCCGATAATGAGCTCCCCAGCCATAGATGAGGAAGCCCACGGGGATGGAAAGACTTCCTGGAAGGACCATGAACCACGGCAAGCGGTCCTCTGGTTGCGGCTCTTGATTCATTGCGAGTTTGCGACGAACTTTGAAGTCGCTGAAAGATGCAGATACGAACAGGCCAGCCACAGTCCCGACTCCACTGCCCAGATAAGACAACCCAGCACTGCCCGTAGAGAAGTCGTACTGATCCACGAACACAAAGGTGAAGGTCGTGAAGAGGATGTACAGCAGCCCGTACAGTGTGGCAATGTAGAAGCACATCAAGGATGCGACCGGCGAGAAGAGCAGAATCTGCATCGGGCGTGCAAAGGACTCTTTTATGAGCTGCTTCCCAGCAGTTTTCGAGGTCAGCCGTGGATGCCACGCTGGATTTCCGGTCTTCTTTCGAAGCCTCTCCGCCTTCTTGGTCAAGATGGTATCGGCGTATGTTTCTTTGAGGATAAAGAAACAGGCGACAGTCGAAATTCCAGCCTAAATCTCGTCAGCACGTCTGCAGTCACTTGACCACCGCTTCCCAGCCTTACCGCGATCGTTATCACCCAGAATACCCATCGCCATCCCGCAGATTCTGTAAGGTAGCCACCTGCAATCGGACCCTGTAGCAAACTGTCAGCTGTACTGCGATTTGAAAGGCACCTGCTCATGGGTACTCACGATGACCGGCCCAAAAAGAGGTCCGAGAGACCAGCAAGACATCGCCAACCCTCTGCGCTTTGCGGGGATCATATCGGAAATGGTACCGCTTCCAATGGTAACAGCCTGCAAAGCATCAGCATTTTGGACGAACGAACATGAGCGTCTCGTTCGACTTACACCAACGCCAGCGAATCCAGCAAGAAATCGAAAAGCCAACAGCATTCCAATGTTCGTCGAGACAGCATTGCAGATCGTGAAAACGACGAAAAATATGTTGCAAACATGGTAGACGACATTGCGGCCATACAATTCGCTACAAGGCGCAACGATCAGAGGACCGAAAGCAAACCCCAACACGAAGATCGACACAACGAATGTAGCAATGGCTTCGGAATCCGTATTGAACTCGTCCAGGACATTTGGAACGCCAGGTGCGAACATCGATGATGCGAGTGGACTGTTTCTTGCAAATCAGCATCAGGTCCATGACTCTTTGAGATCCGACTTACGCACGTCAGAAAGGTGACGAAAGAAATAGTGATGATGGTGATGATCTTCCGTGTATTGGTCCAATTCAAAGGATTCTCCGGATCTTGATCTGCGGGCTCCTCCCACCATACTTCGAATTCGTCACGGGCTGTTGCTGCGGCATCGCCATCCAGCGATGCATTTCGTTCGATGTCCAGATCGCGAATGGAATCCTGATCGAGTGACTGTTCGGCGCTCAATCGAGGGGTCTGAGGCCCAGAGGTCAACTTCGCCGGCGAATTCTGCTCAGCATTGTCTGAAACTTCATCGGGCAGGTATCTTGACTTCTCAGACAGAACCATCTCGCCGATGAAATGTTACCGGACGAGCACTCAATCCAGGTCCACGCGATGGGTGCGAAGCGAGTCTGTGCGATGTTCCTGCTGTCAAAGACCAGCGCCTACATGAGGCGTGGCCCACAACGTTTTGTAGTCTGCAGGCTCGAGGTTTGGTAACGATACGACAAATACGACCTGCATATGTGCTGAATGCCACCATCGGTATGACATATTTGCCGCTCCGGGTACTAAGAGCCTGTGGCTGACGACTCTGGATCTTGGCGGGTCCTAGTGAAAGGAGGTCATCCTTGTCTGCTGCGCTAGCTGAAACGATCTCGCATTCGGAGCCAGGTTTCCCGACTATCTTATGAATGGTATGTGCTGCCCGCAGTTCTCCATAGGATGCATCGGCGCGTTTGCACAGTCCGCCCTATGGCCCGGGATTGCCTTTGCAGTGAGCACCAGTTGTGCGAGGTGCCATCATCCTCGCCAGAGTTCGGTCTGGAACATTGCAGTCTAAGTCATGCCAGGCGCTGCAATGATGGCAATGACGGCTGCATACAGAGCATTCCAGATTTGAAACTTCTGCATCGAGAGATTAGTTTGTGGCAAGGCGTCGACTCCATGGGACGCAGCTTCGATTCTGTGATTTCTGTACGTGGTCCAAAAGTCACATTGCTCGAGGCTGCTGTCTCCAACGAATTCTGTGGCCGGTGAGGAAATAAACGCATCCTTCAATCGTAATTGGCAGATTCAACCAAACTTGATTGAGTCAGTGAGGTAAAGAAAATGGGATGTAGCCCGCGTCGTCATTGAAGATGGTGAGCGCCATGCGTGATGCAGCTACTGATAAGCAATGAGATCTCTTCGATTACTGGTCTGGCAAGGGCAGACTTTCGCTTCCGCATCTAAAAGGTTTGTCCGATTGTTTTCCTCGCATGCCGAGCGGGGGAGTCGCAGCCCAACTTTCAGCGGCTGTGAAAGAGGCGAGGTGAATAGTCGGTCAAAAGCTGCGTCGAGGCAAAGGTTGACACTAGAACTGGGCAGCATTTGCGATGTGTGGCTAGCAGCCAGCGCTGGGCGTCGACTTGGCTGAACGATGCTTCTAAGAGGAGCTTTGATTACTCTCCGCTGTCAAGATCGACTTGGGAATAACTGATCAGCAATGTGCTTAGGACCCTCGTCAATGCTGCTCACCATGTTTGTGTCTGCGTGAGCTTTTGGCCAGTCAAGCCAATGCTGCAGATCGTGACCGTGTAGCTCCTGCTTTATTCCTTGCAGACAGTAATTGCCCCAATTCGTGCTGTACCAGGCGGACTGTACAGCAAGCGACACGGATGCAAAGTGCGCGAGTATGACTAGCGCCGGCGGCACTGAAGCTCGAATGAAGGTCACAAAGTCCAGAGGTATTGCGGTCATCCAGCTGAAAACATGGCCTTCTTGTTGTCAGCTGTGACTTTGAATTGAATGACATGTGTTTTTACCCGTCTGCAGCTGGTTCTTAGCTGAGTAATGCACGACGCTCCTGTGAACGTCTTCGAGGGCAGAAAGTGCGTCTCTGCAGATATTTCTCTGGTGTTCGCCAAAGCAAGCTGTCTCAATCATTTCGTCCAGCACACGAAACCGCTCCGTGACAACGTCCGGCAAAGTTACTTGATCGCGATCGGGAATATCGTACCCAGCGAGCACGGGCGCCAGTGGACTCGAACGGAGCCACGAGACGCATGCATCAACTATTGTCCCCACTCCCCGTGTTAGCAAGAATAGTTCGGTGACTTGATCCATGCTGACGTATCGTGGTTCTGGCAAGGCGTAAGCGACCGCGCAGGATCTCGCAACAGATCTGGGCTTATGTTAGCTCAAGAGTTACAAGGAAGACTTGATGCTGACGAACGAAATTGATATTACACTGGCCAACGCGAACATTGGCTGAGACAGCTGCTCGTTCAATTGGGTGGATAGCAATGAGTGAAAGGCGCCGACCGCCTTCGCTTGGTGGTTGTCACACAGTCTCATATGTCGTTCTGATTCGTTCGGTCGTCGATGAATGATGTGCAGCGCCGAGAGTGCGAGCACTCCATGCATTACGCTGTAGCAATCAGTACATTCCCAGGCCATGCTGTGCTGCGAGTTTGACATACTGAAGGACTAGTCAGCCAGTGCATTGCTTTCGTTCGAAAATAAATGCACTTACCAAAGGATGACGGGTCGCTTCTTCTGATACCACATCTCGCCATAGTCTCTGTACATTTTTCGTTGCTCCTACGGGCTCAAGCGTCGTGGTTACGATGAAGTGCCGGAGGAGTCGTAAGTCTCCCATCCAATCGTCGACGGAGATGGCCATTTCGCCATCTTTGTCGTGGATCTGGAACGCATCGATCAGTGCCCATCTTGTGCAAGTCTTAATCTTGTTGGTGCAGGGAATGCGATCCAGGATCTCGGAGCCGCGCGCGCGGCAAATCTTGGATGCCACATACCGTGGTGGTGGTGGAAGGCAGATTCTGCAGACTGCACTGCTCGCCGCGCCGTACGCAGTTCCTGCATGGGACTTGTTCATCGCACTGTCGATATACCGATTAGTGATTCACTTCACCAAAACAGCGCGCCGCGCCGGCAGAGCAGCTACCTTCACGCGTCGTCGCTTGCACGCCATGCATCCTCTTCGGCTCTTCTTGTGCCCCACCCGACACATGGTCGCATGTCGCCGCGACTGAGCAGCCGCCGCTGGTGTTGTTAAAGAGTTATCGCATAATTCGTTGATGGAATTCTCGGCGTGCAATGGCCCGTTCAGTCCAGTGCAGATGTTGTAGCCTGAAATGCACTGCCAGCCGGAAAGAACAGATTGCTTGGCGGCACCGGCTCGGATGCTGCCGACCAGACGCGACCGCAGGTGTTTGCCTCGCCATCATGACCTTCTTCCTTCTCACTGCTGACTTCTCACCTACATCGCGGAACGCCGCGGCGGTCGAACAACGAACATACGCTCCGTCGAGAGCGAAGCCCGGTCATTAAGGGCAGCCGCAGCCGCAGCCGTTGCCAGCAAAGCACACGGAGAGAGCCTCCAGATTCGAAGGACGACAGACCACGCCGGCGGCGGAAGATGCCACGAATGGAGCACCTCGCTTCTAGGATGCTAAAAGGAGATGAAGCCGAAAAATGGTCTTCAAAGTTGACGGGACTGATCTAACAGGCAAAAGAACGGTGTCGATACGAACGCAAATGTATCAATCTACCGACGATGACTATTATCGCCAACCAGGCAATGTTCCAACATCATTGACCCGAAAATAGGGTCCTCTATTTCCCCTTGGTAGCCGACTCGTGGACACGTCACAGTGGCAATACGCTCGAGTGCAAGCGCGCCGCCCTACGAATGCAAGATGGCCCATAACACCACGAAGCGACCAGATCCGCCAATTCGATCAGAGCGGAGCAAGGAGCCCAGCCCATGATCAAAGCCAGACTCAGGACAGCGTTCCTTCTTACGTGAGCCGTTCTGTCAGGCACACGACCTCCATTGTTCTTGGATCCCGTTTCTCCGCAGCATATAGCCTTTCGCTAGGGCAATATACCCATACCATTCCATTCGATCTCGCCAGGACGTGTCGCTCACCTCACAGCGTGCGCGCACTATTGCTGCGACAGTCTTTCTACCTCGCCGGAAGTACTCTCGTAGTTGGCCGGGAATGGGATGCCTGCATCAGGAGTGGTGTGCCCAGGTCTTGCCCGAAAGTGCCAGCAAGTCCCCAATTTGGTGCTGCTGCGTCAACATTTCCCGACTATACCGGGACGTCGTGCTTTGCAGTTCACCTCTTGCAGATCCGGGTCAGTCGCCCAAGCACGTTTCCCAGCATAGTCGGAGTGGGCAGGACGTCTCCAGGAGAGCTGGATCCCCATCAAAGGCTGTTTGAGTGGTCGGGCGACTAATTTGATGTTCTTGCTATAGTCCTTGCAACGACGGCTGGGTTCTGAGATGTCGGTGGATGACGTAGCCAAGTCGCTGTGCTGCTCTCGCTTTGGATCAGTAAGGCGAGAGGAAAGAAACCGACCTGTTGAGCAGGAAATGTTGAGCGCGGAGTCCAACAACCTGTCCGCAATTGCCAGCAATACCTGAGCCGCGCCACAGATCTGTTGCTGTAAGGGAGAACATCAGAGCGGTCGTCGGTCGACACAAAAACGACGTCGTATTCGCGCGTAGCTCATCGAGCTAAGAAACGGCATCCATACCATCATATGACGCCGCTACGATACTGTCGAAAGAGAACCGCCCAGATCCTGACTATTACTCCCGGACTCCAACGCTACCTGTCTCACAATCCTGCCGATCTATCTCAAAGCTCTTATTCGTCGTATATCCGTCCTCGGAATCGTCAAAGCTCATTGCAACTTGAGAGTTCTGTCCACTTCTGAGCGACATGTTCCTCATATTCGCTTAGACAGTGGACTTGTTGCTCATCTGGTACGAATCAAGTCGCTCCTCTTTGTATTCGGTGTTGCGACTGCGCTTGAACTCGCGGAACTCGAACCAGGATGCGAGGAAACACCAGACGGCCAACTGACTGAACGCGAGAATGTCAGTCAAGGTTCTGCAAATCGTGGCCATTGCTCGACGCCAAGCAGGACTCACTTCAACACTCCTGCGACACCCATCACGCCCCAACTGAGATAACATCCAACTCCTTTGCAGCTTTTCAGATTCGCTTGGAAAATCAATCCCATCACAGCTGCCCAGAAAATGATTTCGAGGAAATTGATGATCGCGTATGCTTTCAAGCTCTTCCACTTCCTGAGAAACCTCGTGTGCTCCGACAGCAACTCGTAGCCGATCAATATCAAGCTCTTGGCTCCCTGTTCAAATGTTAGCATTCGCAGTTCATGCGAGAATCATCAGTGGCTCATGCCATGCCGAGCGCGATAGTGTTCGCTCTTGTCCTGGGTTGATTCTTCATGAAAAGTCGGGGTACTGAGAGACCCATTGCAACGACGACCAGAATGATGTACACGATCTGTACCGGAAGCTTGTAACGAGCTTGGAAGTAATCCTTGAAGGCCATGATGGGAGTCGTCGACCCGTCGACTATGAACAGCTCGGTTGCTGAGTGTTCGACTTTCTGGCTGTTCGCTTGTCGACCGAAGCTTGAATCTCGTTCCAAATCTCAGGTATCTGGTGTTATTCTGTTGGCTTGAACTGGTTGTCGTGCTTTGCAAAAGGCTGCTGACACCGAATCCATCTTCAAGAACACTCCCTCCTATATACGACGACAACCAGGCAGACGTTTTGAATGTATGTTTGCTAGCCTCGCATTCAAAGCGAGCTCCCCAGATTTAGATCTCAACTAACCGGGGCAGAGAGATACGGCTAGGTCTGGGCGACTTCGGAACGATCGGAACGAATGCGAAGCACCACTCCAATGGCTTCAAACTGTTGCTTGGCAACGCTTATCTGCCGCCGGATGGCGATGCAATGCTGGTCAAACATCATCGGACATGTCGGACCCGTAACTCCTGCTTGAAGGGGCTGACAAAGGCACATCACATAGTTCAAACAGGCTGCCTAGCCAGCAAAGTGAGGGGCCATCACATCAGGGGACGAATTCAGACGCTATGCATTCTGTTCGGACGATCCGAAAGCACAGGAAGCAGAAACATGCGTGCATAAATTGCACTACGAACGGCAGTGTATCTGTACATCCTTACTCAACCAAGCACAAGAAAGGCACGAATACGTGCCTGCCGCCATTGACATCCTCGCAGCCTCGTGTCAGCTCGCCAATGGCAAAGAGTACAAAGTGGTTGACTGGCACGGGAGCATATCGGCCTACCGCTGCCACAATTTGACAGCCACAACTGCAGCGTCAAGTACAGACTCCACAAATTACCAACTCGCAAACAATGCGACCCAGCTGCGGAAAGATTCTGTATTCGCACACGAGGCGTGCACATATGGCGTACGTGGCTGGGCAGTGCATCGTCGGGCTATGCAACTGTCCCTCCTCTCCCATCTGGTACATGTGCGATAAGATCCAGCCCCTCGTAAGGCCCGCTCTCACGATCTTGGCAATGATTAAGACAGATCAGGGTCTTCTTCGCTTTGTCAGGGTGTCCCGCAGCTAGAGTGTTGTCAGTGCTTTCCAAATTCTTGGGAGCACTCGTAGACTTCATGAAATTAACATTGATGCGACGATGGAGGATTGACAGATCACATCGTCCGCTGCTCATGTCGCTCATTATCATGAACAAGACGGTAAGTGAGCACAGTTCGATCTGTTATATGGGAACGTTTGCAGTCCGTTCGCTCTGCTGCTATTTCCAGGACGTCGCGCAACTGCATCACAATTCGGAGTCCGATGTCACATCACGTCAACTCCCATCGCAACGGAACTGCCGCACATCCCCGAATTTCCTCAAGATTTGCATTCGTTTATTCGATGAATCGACGGATCTCCAGCAGATACGAGATGAAGAGGTCCACATCTGCCACAATTGACAGAATGCATACGGAAAGGTGAGATCCGACCTAGGCAAAATCGAGCTTTCACTGTCTTCTTGACATACTTATTGGCCTCCTGTCGTTCATCCTAGCTGGGAACTCTATACAAGCTACGGGACCGTTCTCTGGCAAGCAGACTCTCTCATTAGAGTCTGCTACACACATTCTGCAAGCAAATTTGACGCATTACAAGCGAGAATACCACAGCTCTCAAGGTGAGACTAATCCCGCAGGGCATGCTCTATCATTCAATCTCACGCCACCTTCATTGTCAGTTGGCGTGAATTCCGCAATGCGTGGGATATAGCTATTTCCCTCCTTCTGATAGTACTTGAGACAGTAGTCCGGCTTTGCCGCGAAAATGAGACACGGTCCGATGCCTCGTGGAGCGCCTTCGCCCTCGTTCTTTGGTGGAGAGTTCAGACATGATAAGCGACAAGTGTCATATGTCAATGGGACCACGCCATAATCGAACTCGTAGTAGGTATTCGCATCGATAAACGGCGGGATGTGATTGAGCGAGAGGCAGGTCGGCCCCGAAGCCGCGGAAGTGGTGGTTGTTGTCTGATAGTCGGCAAGTCAGCCACGCTGTACACGAAGTGTTCTACGACCAACGCGTTCAAGTGCTCCATGAAGAAGAAACATATCATACCGTCGTCCGCGTAGTTGACGTGGTCGTCGTGCACTTGGTGGTAGTCACCGGCTTTGGCTTCTTGCATCGAACAGTATCGCCTCGGCCAGTCTTCTGCAGGTACGAAGCGCTGTCACTGCGATAGTAGCACTTCTTGCTTGTTCTGCTCCATTTCGCATCCAAGCAACACGAGTCCGCAGCGCAAGCCTTCGCACAGTCGTCGAAGCAGGAACGCCAATCGTTCTTGTAGCTGCCACTTGTGAGCTCGTAAACACAATGACGAGTACAATATCGACCCCTGAGAGAGATGGCACCATTCTTGCACGAGCTGCTTGTCGTGCCCAGAGCCCTTAGATCTGCCAGCGCACCAGTCACTGGCATCACGGCGAGCAAGAAGCGGTTGAAAATCATGTTGCGGTAGAAGGCCGGGTGGGATGTCGTGTCGTCTGGTGCAGCAGAGGTCTGGGTTGGTTACATGGCGACGGGAGATCTGTTCTTATACGCGAAAACACTTGCAACGCCATGACCCATGGGCCTGCCTGGATGGTGTGCGCTCTCGCTTGATAAAAGTGTATTCTTTGGTGATGTGGCACATCTGGATCAACGCCATTCGTGCACGCTCAAAGCTTGCACGAAGCTTCAGAGTGGCTGAACTCACTTCTAAGTCGGACTTCATCGCAATCCCTCCAGTTTAGGGATGCCAGGTGAAAATGCTGTCAGTACAGCAAAGAACATCATCAAAGCGTGACTGAACATCATTCCTGCGATCTGGGAGCTGCGTGGAACAGATGGATGTTCATGAGCTGGTGAGCTGCGGACCTCGCAAGCGTGTAGAGAAAACCACTTGCACGTGGCGTACACGTGGCGTTGACTATAACAGCTGATGGCCTGATGCACAGCTTAGCAGGAAAATGTACAACAGAAGTCGCTTCCTCCTGCCCAATACTGCTGTTCGAGTCAGAATTGCCCACCCTGTTATTCTCAATTCACGCCCATTCAAGGATTAAATGAAGCTTTGCACTCCTTGCAGATTCCCGCTTCAACTCGTCGGCCCAAGATCACAGCAATACACATACATATTTGATAGAGAGTGATGCAGGTGGGCTTGGCCAACTGATATCGTGGCGGGACTGTGGCTAGCTGGGAGTGGCGAGATCTTTGCTGGAATGGAAGCTACACTACAAACTGTCTGCACAATTATTCTTGCTTGCCAGCCAGCCCCAGATTCGAAAGGTCTTATCGGCCGGCCAGGTCCTGCGGAAAGCATGCGTGACGCTTTTGCAGCAATCATGGGAGGCGGCTCGAAAGCTGTTCCATCACGACTGAAGCAGCCATAGACCAAGAGCCGATGACGCTCTTCTACCCTGACTGGATCGGCCCTTGATGATTGCCAGAAGACGGTACGCAGAGCATGACGATGATTGTGTCAGAGGCCAGAAGCCTTCATAGGAGGCCTATCAATACAGAGCTACGAAGCAAAGTCTTCAACCGAAGCTTCGAAGTCATCAAGCTCGACCAATTCCGGCCCTTTCATTCCTGCTTCGAGCAACTCACTAGCTTCCTGGTCGTCTTTGCTCTCCCAAGATATTTGATTGAACAGTGAATCATCCACGAGATCTTGCTCACTTGTCTTGACAGCTTCGCCCGACACAGCTACGCTTGTCTCCGGCTCTTGCTCATGCTCTGCTGTCTTCGAAAGAGACAGACCCATCAGTGCATCTCGATATTCTCCCACTGATTCTCCAAGTCTATCTCTCATGTCCAAAAGGATTGCTGATCCCGTCTCAACATCATCTGCGGAGACTTGACAAGCCACTTTCGCTCTCTCCCTCAGCTCTGCATCGTCATTCTGCGCTGGGCCATACTGTTGACTTGCTCCGCTTCCTGACTTGGCCATCCACATCATCCACGCACTTGCACTCATCTCTGCTTCCTGCTCAAAGGCCCTTGCAACGTCTTCTGGTGTAATCTTGATCCCCCCGCCAGATTCAACAATCTTCGATGCAAAGTAGAAGCAGCTCGCAGCAAGTTTGTTGTGGCTCAGCGCAGGATTCCAGTTGTCCTCCAGTAGACAAAAGTCCATCAAGTTCAATGTCATAGTTTCCACATCCGGCGACGTGGGTAGATTGCCCTGAGAAACAAAACTGAGAGACGTCGGCTTCGATTCAAACAATTCAGTGTACACTCGCGTCACTTTTGGCGTGCCAGGGGCATCCTTTGGATCGGGATGAGCAGAGGCGATGATCTGTTGTTCGGAGGCATTCACTTGTTTGTCTACGCTTTCGACGTTTCGAGCGGGAGTTGGCCTGTGGCTACCGCGGCCGCGAGCTCTGCCTCGCTGTCCGCGTGTTGATGCAAATGGCTTGCGGGATGTGTGGCGATCCTGGGCAGGGTTTTGTCGTCTTGCTGCCGGAGCCACATTCTTCACAACTTTGGACGCCCTTCCTCTTCGAGTGATAGCCGGCATGATGAGTGCAACTAGTCTTAGAAGTCTCGTGTTGAGTTGCAAAACAATGGAGTATAATTCAGTCGACCAGGAGAGACTCATAGAGTGCAAGCGACTGACTTCTTTGTTCAACATTCTGAACTCCCGTATCCGGCACAGTCTGCATTATTGTCTGTTCCTCGCCCGCCAAGAAGCCTGATAGAGACAAAGGGAACCGCACATCTCCCTTGCATCGGTATGCACAGCGCCAAGACTTGCACCCCATTTATTATGCTCGCTGGAATAAACTGTACGATCCACCGAACCAGCACAGGAGAACAATCAGCGCAGCCTGAAGCACATTACGGAGCAACATGAGGCCGCAAGGTCTGAGTGATCCAATCAGGGGACATAGCGAAGAGGATTACGTCTCGTATATCTTCGAACATGGCGAAGTGTTATGTATCGTCAGAGAATCGAAACTGTGGTAGGACCCACGAAGTATATGTCCTTACCATCCAAATTTTTTCGAATTCTTTCCATATATACTACATCTGCCTCCCACCCCAGCATCCTCTCATAACAGTGATTCTCGCACCCAAAATCATCACCACACATCACTCCGATCAACAGCTCAAGCCAAAATGTTCAACATCTCCAAGCTCAAGTCCGCTCTCTCGGGCATAGTCCCAGAGACACGCCGCGCCGACAACCCAGAGCCCGCGCAAGGACCCCTCACTCCCCTTCCACCAATCGCCTTCGCAGCACCAATGTACGCCGGGTGCCCCGTGTACACTCAACCCGGCCGGCCATCCTACTCTCCAAAAAGAGACTCAAGCAAGCCACCAAGGAGACCTCAGGCCGACAAGAAAGCTGCAACTTCGCTGCAGCAACCAGAGCGGCGCCTCTCCTATCTCCGCCAACCAGACGAAGCGGCTGACCTCGAAAGCGGCCTACGCGATGCCTCGGACCCAGCCTCAGAGTTCAAAGAAGACGATGGCTTGCTAAGGCCAAAAGAGGACGAAGCCATCTCGGGAGAGACCACGTGGGAGCAAATCCAAGCTCTCTTCTTCACCTGTCCCATCTTCTTCGTGCTATTCGCTTTGGTGAAGATGCATGACATAGGGCAGGTGATCGAGCACTTCGGTCGTTATACGGGAACTCAAGGCAACGAGGAGGAAGGCGGGTTGTGAAAGGTCGCGCGGAGATCCATGGAGTGTTGAAAGGAGCGAAATTTTTGTTTCAATTGTGTATTGTAGTAACTTCATTTGAGCAGATTCGTGAAAATGAAAGTTATCTTCCGACTCCGGTTTCATGCGCACGTCGAAGGCCGGTCTGCATCGCCAAGTCCCAACTCGTCAGAGATAGGTGCAGGAGGAGTGACGAGAAGCATTGCGTGATCTCTGTTGAGTCAACGTGTAGCTGAGGGGCTGAGGGTGGCGATGGTGAAAAGGCTGGATGTTACTTACCCCGGAGATTGAAGGGCTCGGGCGTCTCGTGTCAATGGACATTACTCACAACGCAGTGCTTCCTCAGTGGTGACGGCCTGTCGAAGGGCCGAATAAGGAAAAGGCCTAGTTGCACCTTTGAAGAGATCCGTAGAGTCAATTGGCACTTCCCTTGTGTCTTGCCAAGTATCATTGAGTTGCCTTGGGTATGTGCTCTTCGTCAATTCGTTCCCTTCCCCATATTTGTGCTTCCGACGCTGCAGTCGCATGTCAGCCCCGAGCTTCGCATGCTGTTCTTCCAGAACAGAAGTAAGTGATGACACTTGCCCATGCCACCGCTTTACGTCAGCAAATGGCACGACCAGGAGCTCGCCACTCGTGCACAGCACTCCGTTGGCATGAATGTATCTCCCCCTCATCCTTTCCACTTCTCGTCTTCTCATCCCATTCCCATCCCATTCGTTCCAAAACCATCATCCCCATATTGCATGTAGTAATTGCTCGCCGTATAATTTCCCACACCGTTAGTCCCACCAGCAACCATCAAATCACCGCCCATCGAAAAGCCAAAAGGTCCACTACTCGCCCCGCCGTTTGCTCCTCCATAATCAATGGGTCCATTCATAGCACTCCCCGGCATAGGATTGTCCATTATCGCATCATGCGTCAACGAAGTCGGGTTGTTGTTCTTGATGACTCCCGCGTCGAACATCTCCCAGTCAATTGATCCGGGCATGTCGAGCATATCACCAATCATGCCGAATTCGGGAAGAAGGGAATAGTCTTGCGAGTTGGAGTTGGGGGAAGGTTCGTTCGAGTTGGGTCCCGAGGAAGAGGTGTATTGATTTGTGCTCATTGGACCTGTTGCTTCGCTCGAGGAGAGGCTTCTTTCCTGAGAAAGATGGGGCATGTAGAACGAGACAGACGGTCCTTGGGAATTCCCGTTGGCATTATGTGGTGCGTTATATTGCAAGCTCTCGCCAAGATCAGCAGTGTCGTCCCAATTGTGGTAAGATACGATGCCGCCGAAAGGCATCCCACCTGCGGTGTGAGTGGCCTTTGACGTCTGAGCAGGAACGCTTTGCGGCAGTGAGAAGTCAATGCCGAGATCATCGTTCGCAATACCCATTCCAGGTCGCGAGGGCGCCGCGCAGTTCATATTCGTTTTCCGCGTAGCATCAGGTTGGTGTGGGAATCGGGCTCGCACCTTGGTCAACATGGTAGACATGGCACGACAGGCCTTCTCCGTCTCGTCAAGCATGTGCTCTTTTCCGATCTGCTGAGGAGCATTACGATCACGCTTTCGTCCTGCAGCGGCGGCGGCGGACCAGATCTTGTGGCTCTTTTCCAATGCGTCCATCATGACACCTCGGATGGGACACATGATGAGGTTGGGATTGAGCACAGCTACGTTGTCGCCGATTTGTTGCGAAAGCTCCAGGCAGACAATCATAGCGGCGAGAAGGAAGTCGTGGGTCGAGATCGATCCCATGTACCACTTGACACTTTCCAGCTGACCTCCAGGCTGAGATGCAGCATAGATTTCGTGCTGATGCCGCAGGACCTTCAATGCGGCATCAACGCAAGATCTGCGACTGAAACCAATGCCGAACTGTTGCTCTTCGACGGAGAGTTGAGCGAATGGTCGTTCCATGTAACGTCGGTGTAAGACCATCTTGGTCTTGAGGTAGATCAAATCCAAGTTGATTCGACACATCACTTGCTCGGCCGGCTCGGTGACAAGTTCGCTCATATCGGGCATCTGCAGAGGAGGCGGCATCGCGGCTCTCGCTTCGTCCAGTCTTCTGTCAAGATCCATCATCTGTCCATGACATGGCGGCACAGTGGCATGGATGAGCTCGTTGACTTCTGCGAAGACTGCGACGAGGCCAAGCTTGGCACGCATGTAAGATGAAGGCGTGATCTCATCGACGCTTCGGTCGGGTGGCAGCACAGTGGTGTTGACGTTGAAGTCTCTGTCGAGCAAGTTCCTCGGCGGCCGCGTGTCGGACTGAATCCTCTTGACCTGTGGCAATGTTAGCTGATACGCAGTAGCTAGCAATAGTCTGAACCTACCATTCCTGGCATGCCAAGTTGGAACGAGAACAAGACGTCAATCATGCTGATGACAGACCAGATCCGCCGCCTCATCTCACCATCGAAGACGCTGATGCCGGGATGGTTGTCCGAATCTCGATGGTATCCCATGCGCAGGCCCAGTCTGACCACCAGGCCAATAATCAACCAAGCACTGACAGAGGCTTCGGCACTTCGCATGCCGGCTCCAAAGAGCATCAAGCACTCCATCGTATGCGCTTGGCCTTTGGTGTAGTCCGCAGCCACTACAGAGATATGCTATCAGTCTGCAATTCGTCTTTGTCGCGTCTGGAGTAATCATGCATCTGACTTACCAGCAGCAGATCCAGCCAGCGAGTGAAATTTGGTCATTTCAGCAAGTATTCGCTTGGCCGCGTCAGAGTCTGGATCTGCGTCACGAAGACCGAACGAGGTCTTTTGAGTCAGCAAGCATCACAACAACAGCAGTGCATGAATTATCATACCGCAAGCGAGAGGATGGCAAATAGCAGACCAATCCACATGGTCGGAGTTTCTCTCGGATCGCGCCAAAAGTTCCTGAAGACTGCTCAGTCAAAGGAGCGACCCATTAGCAGACACGCACGTACCGATACTGATCTTGAAAAGTTGGCGCATGAATGATAGGTTTGAAAGGATCTGGCGAGTTGAACCATAAGGCACATAGTCGATCTGTTATTCTCTTCTCAGGTATTGCTTTGATGAGCTGCTCTCTGGTCATTGCGCCGCCCGCACCACCGAGCATCAAGCCCAGATGTGAAGAAGTCTGATCGGGTGCCAGATTTTGCGAGGCCGCTTGGCTCATGGGAGTCGTGCCATAGACATCAGCGACAGTCCTCTCGGGAGAGTCTCCTTCGGCCTGCTCGTCATCTTGCTCGTCACCCAGCTCTCGCTTCAGGTCCGATATGCCGTTCAATATGGCTTGCCAGTGCGTCTCGCCGACATAGCTGATCTCTCCATTGCTGATGCGCAGCTTGCCAAAAGGCTTTGTCGTGCTGTCCACGTCGTCCTGCGCTTCGCCGTGTCCATTGTGTCCATCTTGCGGGGCATAGTCATCGCTATCGCTGGGTGGAGTGAGCTGAGTCGCAGCGCCCTGCCTGCTCTCTATTGATGGTGTCCGCGTGGCTGACGATTGTGTCGTGGCCGTGCTCTCCGCTTGCTGTGTCTGTGCCTGCTTCTGACTCTGCTGGTTCATCAAGTCCACCACGAGCGTCTCCAACTGCCGTATCCGCCCTTTGACATTCTGATTCGCCTTTTGCTTCTTTGGAGGTGGGACATAATGGCATTGGCCTTCGCGGCTCCTCTTGATACACTGGTCGCAGGCCGGGTCGTGAGATCGGTTACATTTCAGCTTTCCTTGCCGGCAGGGGATACAGGACAACTGCGATCGCGCGCGCTTCTGCTTGAGGTGTTCTCCATTTGCGAGCTTATTCAGCGCGTGGTGGGCGGAGTTGGAAGTAGGCGAGACGCTCTCGCTGGCGTCAGCGGGGCCTTGCGACATGATTAGAAGAGAGGGCGGGCGCGTGCGGTGGAAGATCGGACGATGGGGGCGACGCAAGTAATCAGATTAGTTGCGCAGCTTGGATGAGGCCTCGACAGAGCCAAGTGATCCTGCAGGAATGCCCACGAGCCCTTCTTGCACGCGTGCAGTGCTTGTGTTGCTCACGCACGCAGTCTGCCGCCTAGCGCATTGGACGTTGTTGTCTTGCTCTACTCACGCTCTCGCTCAGGTCGAATGGAAGACGTCGTCTTACGGAGGCCAATCCGGATAAACCGCTTCTCATACAGCCAATGTTTCCGATCCGAACAGCCTACTATCCATAGCTAGCTTCGCACCTTCGGACTTTGCTGTCGCAAACTATGTTGGTCGAGATGCTGCCCTGCTCATTCTTTGTCAGCACGTAGGATCGGCGCCGAAGTGGATCCATGATCATTGCTATTGGTCTGCCACTTCAACCGGCCGATTCCACACTTCGTACGGCCGACATCATCCTCTTCTCATTGGGACAATGCACTCTCCCAAGATTGTCCCTCGCTGCAGGGCAACTCTCACGCCCCTAGATATAGCTTGGCAGCAGATGACAGATACGATGAGTAAAGCACACATATGACTACCATTCACCTTGGAGAACCGACACCGGCGAAGGGGACGCCTAGTTACCGTGAACACGAACAACCAGGATGAGGATGCTTGTACGGCTAGATCGCAGAACTCCCGGGACGGACTCCACGCGGATATGATTGAGAATGGTATTGGCAGAGTGCACAGCATCCACCATTGCAGTATAAAAATGACGTGGAATTGATAGCATCAACTTCAAAGAAGACGTGAACCATCTCGACCTCATCTCCTAACATCTCAGCCTCACCTCTGTCCATATTCTCACTCCTAAAATGTCTCTCAAGCCACCCTACAATGCCTCAACCGCCCATCAAAAAGTCAAAGTCGCCCAAAACCTCTGGAACACCCAAAATCCCACCAAAATCTCCCAAGCCTACACCGCCGACTCCATCTGGCGCAACCGAGACAACTTCCTCCAAGGCACAGACCAAATAATCGCCTTCCTCACAGCGAAATGGGAAAAAGAGAAAAACTACACCCTTCGGAAAGAACTATTCGCTTTCACAGAAAATCGGATCGCTGTGCAGTTTTGGTACGAGTATCAAGATGAGAATGACGGGATGAAGTGGAAGAGGTGTTATGGTTTGGAGGATTGGACGTTTGATGAAGAGGGGAAAATGAGGAAGAGGCAGATGAGTGGGAATGATGTCGAGACTAAGGAGGAGGAGAGGTGGTTCAAGGAGGGGCTGGATGTTGATGCGGTGGAGATTGGGGAGGAGCATTGGTGAAGCAAATTATGTTGTGATTTTGGTTGGTGTCAGCAGTATGAGGTCGTCTTCTTCTTACCAATTACAAATTATATGATATAACCCACTTGATTCCAAACCACCATTCTATAACGAAAGTCTTGATATGCTCCATAGCTCTTCGAGTCCAGTTTTGCTGGGACCAATGTGGATCCTCCATTAGAGCCTTGAAGCGCTCAATCTCTTCCTGAGCTTTCTTGGAACCAGTGAGTGGGACGCAGCACGTTGGCGATAGTATCATCGAAAAATAGAGCATAATTATGGCGCTTAATGCTCCTAGTATGCCGAAAGGCACAGCAAGCAAGATCCTCAAAGGCATCTTGTCAAAATGGTACAGAACTGCACTGGTTAGGAACCAGATTAACATTGGCAGCAGGAACCAGATCACTGCCTTTTGCTTGAATGTAGACCACATTACGGTCGGTGCTCCCATAGTTCCGATGGCAGCAATGACGAGCATAAAAGCGATGCAAGAGGCGACGAACAGGCCAGTCCTACGGCAGGCGTGCAACAGCAAGAGCGGCAATTCCATGTATTCGAACTCCAAGAATAGAAGATTGTTTTTCCCTAGAGGGCTTTTCCAAGGATAAGCTCTCCCGACCAGGAATCCGCTCTCGTAAGGGACGAAAGTAGAGTAGTACATATCCGTCCAAAGTATAAGGGTCGTCCACCAGGGCAAGGAGATTGCTTGGTGGAATCTCAATCGCAGAAACCTGCTCACGTTATCGGTCGGCCAGAACTTGACATGTGCCCTGATTTTTGATTCGGATCCTGGCATGCTGAGCTCGAGCTCTGCATCAAATTCTGGTAATGAATAATGTTCATCAGCTCGTAGTTCGAAGCACAGCCGTCCCTGGTTCCAAGCACCTTGGATGGATGTGCTCTTTAGCCCAATGTTCAGAGTGCATTTGGAATCGCAAAGGATGATTACATTTCTCTTGCTCTGGACATATTCTTGAGATCGATCGGGCATCGGATCGCGTAGCACGCTGAAAGTCTTGTAGGGACAAGAGTCGTAATCGTGGGCACTTATACGCAGAGGCTCCACGTGAAGGCCAGAGCCAGAGCCATCGACGGCGTAGAGGTCTGACCGGGGAAAATCTAGAGATTGAAGTCGCATGGCTAGCACGATCTCAGGCTTGTCTTCGAGGGCACATCTCAAGATCATAAATCGTTTCACCTTGTAGTCCGAAGCGACATTGTACCATCCAAAGAGAGTGCGTGTTATCTCGTGCCTATGTTTCCACCGTAGACCGTCGAATCTTCCAACTATCCTCTGATGGAACGTGACCTCGCGTGTGCCAGCCCGATAGCCAGTTGCAACGTGCTCGTTGCGAATAACGATATTTCCACATCCCCGGAATTCTTCGGGAGATTGAGCCAACAAAAACATCGTGTAGTAAGTGGCAACGCCGTAGGTCCCCCTACTGGACTTGAATGCGAAGATTGAGTCATCTGAGCCAGTGCGAAGAATTTCATCCTGAAGTCTCTGGAATGCTTTGATGCCCTCTCCGTACACGACGGGTATGTTGACGCCCATAAGTCCGAGCAGCGAGTACTACGATGTGGTCAGCACTGAAACAAATAGAAAAGAAGAAGAAGAAAAAGAAAGCCGAGCCTCATTATCAAGCGTGTGGAGGTAGGCAACGAAGTAGGCCATCTACGCTTGAGTGCCGCTGAGCGACGCACATACCGTGCGATCTTCAATCTTTGTACCTGCGCGCGATCAGCGGCACCATCCTTCGAAGTGGCAAATTCTGCTTACTTGTGCGTGCTGATGCCCAAGACATCTTCTGCGCCACGCTGAAGGTATCTAAAGGTCTTTGCTCCGTCCAGAGGGACTCGTGTACGCCTGTCAGTCCTGAAATGTCTGGGACGATATCCTCGAGGTCACATATAAAGCGCCATGACTGACTGTAGAACCTGACTTGACGCGGGGCGATCATCTCTTGCAACGTCCAAGCTCGGGTGAACCACGTGCATTTCCTAAAGGCTTCACGGTCCCAGGTGTCCCATATAGATGGTATGTGATCTTCGTTGAACGCTGCGACTGAGGGCTGCAACCCGTTCGTCGTAATTGCATCGGCAATATCAGCTTCAGCTGTGACACGTCCAAAGTCGTTGAACACTGTTCCCGGATCGGGCATGTCGTGGAGATAGACGTAGCAGACTTTGGCCTCTTTGTACCATTAATACATGGAGTTGATGGATTCTGTCAATTCTTGACTGCTGCTCTTGTCAATACATGCGGTATCTGCCCAGACATGCGGCAAGCCATCAAGTACAGCTTGCCGGCGACACCCTTGTAACTTGTTCCAGCCAGCCTTGGTGTCCAATCCATCCTTTTGGTTTACGATATCGGGGTATCTGATTTCTTGTTCGTCTTGTGGCAGCCATCTGTGGGACAATATGGCGTACTCGTTGCTCTCGCCGTAGGCGTTGTCCAGAACAAGTTCCTCGCCCCCGGCGCGCAGAAGTCTCATATTGCCACCCTGCCACCAAAGTCGGCGGCACGATGGAACGCTTGCTCGTTGTGACCTGGTGCGATGAAGCAGTAGCTGGGACTACGAGATGTCCAACAGGCAAGAGGTCCAGGGGCTCAGCCTCGTCTCAAAAAGCTCAACGAGGCTGAGACCGCCATCTCGTGCGCGCCACATACGTCCCTCAGCACAGCCACTGTATGCACGATGGGGGAAAAGGGGAACATCCAGATTCGTCTACTCTCGAGGCTTGGTTTCCTCAGCACATGGCTGTCCGATTCCTTTTCAGCGCTGTGATCAGATTCGACACGCCTCAAAGATGAATTCTAGCGCCAGATGCTAGACGAGAGTAGCAGATAGGGAAAACGAGATGGAGGGGCAAATAGCAAGACTGAAGAGATGATGGAAGCGTAGAACTTGTGTAAAGAGCGGATGATTGAGTGCACCGTTTGACTTCGACCTGGAGGCAGAGAACGAGCATTGGTGGACGTCTAGCCTCTGCCCTCGGTATCAACAGCGTTGCGCTGATGTCCATCGTCCGTCATGCGCCTTTGCTAGCTCACTCCGTGCACTCTCTTGCGGAAGAGATTTCGTGTGTCTGATGTCCGACGATGTGCCCGCATTTCGTTGGGGCCACTTTCCAGTTGATTGTGATCTGGTGTCTTTGACCTGCACGTTTGGTCTGCCTGCCGCAATGGATGGAGATGGAGACATCTTTCAGCATCGAGTCATGAAGCGGCGACATAGAACTGAGACGACAAGCAGTGTGTCGTCGGAGCATGATGAGCCTGGTGCTGTATTCAGTCGGCGGCGGTCTGGGTCAAGGTGCTGGCGGAGTGTCATGGATCACCACAAGCAAGAACTTCGCGTCTGTATCTCCAGTCAGCATCTCGCACGGCACCATTCCACATTCGATTGTATTTTCGCATACCCGGCACGATCACCACCTCATTCTTCTTCGTCCTCACACGCAACAGCTTCGCCTCATCATGCTCCCCATTCAGGTCCTCTATCATCTCTCCCGCGCCTTGCACAAATTTGTACACCAGCCGCGCAACCTCTTCAGCCTTTCTAGTCCCTCTCTTCTTCACTCCATCATCTGCTCCATTTGAAGTCGGTGGGCGCGCTTCCTCGTCGGCGTTGTCCGCATCGGTGACCAGTCCTGAAGAGCGCACGATAGCTCCAGTATCGCGGGCGAGGATGAGGGTGCCTTGGACTCCAGGACGCTGCGATAGCCGCGACAAGAGCGCTTCTGTCTCGGCAGATGGCGATGGCTGCTGGGATGCCATACTTCAATTGTCCAACCGCAGCATGGCCGTGTCGTGTTGTCAAATGCAAACAAGATGCTAGGGTCGTCGGGTGAGCAAGTGCAAGCGGGCGAGTCTCGGTTCGGGAAGATCGTCCCGCAACTCTAAATCTGAAACTACTCTTGCTTCACTTCCAAATTACTGTTCGACATGTGAAAGCAGGACCTCGCGAGCCAAGACAGATACCAGACGAAAGCGCGACATCACACACGATGGGTTCCTCAGCCAAGAAGAAGAAAGAGAAGAAAGCCGACTTCGCCAAACCCAAGCTCAAAGTCGGGAAAGCACGACCGAAAAATACAAATGCCACCGATACCAGTTTCTCAACCAAATCTATCGTCTTGAAACAGCAGTCCCTCAGCGAAGGCACTCGAGATGCTGCGGCACTCTTCCACCACAATCTGTCCCTTTTGAGCAGTCGGAACGAGACCCAAAGGAGAGATGCTCTGACATATCTCATCACGGCAGTGGCAGCTGCGCCGAGCGGGAATTTGCCGAAGCCTGCGTCGGGTGTGTTGGCTAAAGTCAGCCCTTTGATCTTGGATGGAAACTCGGCGGTACGAGGTCAGGTGCTGAAATTGCTGAAGCTCCTGCCAGCTGGACAGCTGGGAAACCTGGAGCAGACTGTGCTCTACACTCGCGCTGGACTGTCACATCTTTCGAATGACATTCGTTTGACCGCACTGGACGTCCTAGACTGGCTGCTCGAGGCGAACGGAGAGGCGGTTGTCAGCCAGGCAGGAGGATGGGTGAAGACTCTACAGACTTTCCAGAATTTGCTCTCCTGGCAAGGGACAAGCAGCAGTGGAGTGGTTCAGAATGGAGACTGGTCAGCAACGAAGACGAAAACAAATCTTGGCAGTAACAGGCTTCTTGTGCATCAGCTCTCGACGCTGGCGCACTTCATCAATGCTGGACTCATACGGCCTCCGCCAGATCTTCAAGCGGAAGCACGAAGAGCAGCGGCCTTGTTTCCGCTGTGTCAGACAGACTGTCATCTGCTGTCAAAGAGGAGCAACCCTTTTGGGTATCTCAACCTGTTCGGCGCGCCGCGAGATGTGGAAGGCGAAGTGTATGATGATCCGGATGAGAGGATGAATGTGTTCCTAGAGTTGAACATGCACGGGGCGTTCCAATTCGGCGTGCAAGAGGCCAAAAGAGAGGGAGGCGAAGTAGGACGAGCTGCCAGCGCTGTTGACAAGGCGCTGAGGCTCGTCGAAGTGAGCTGAGCAGATTTGGATGCTCCATGACGCATTTGAGGTCGCTTAACAGGAATGTCTCACCGCTGTTGCACCACGAGTACGAGAACGAGGATGCTGGGAAGTCTTCGCTGCGGAAGCCATGACATGGAGATGAAGTTTGGCGTTGTAGAAGCAGGACTGATGTCTCAGTGCGAGGACAGGCCAGACCCTGATAAAATCGAGGTCAAGATACCGGTGGAGCCAGAGTTGTCGGCGTGAACGCAAAGCAAACGATGGAATTGAGTATGCTCGTACTGACTGGTTTGCCTCCACGGACATAACAATGACCGTAGCGGCTACTTTCATGGACTGCGTGTGCCTAATTGGTGGAGGCGCTGAAAGATCGGTGGAGCGAGCATAGACGTGGCGTGCCTACCCTCGAGGACCCCTGCTTTCGCGCGCTAGCGTGACATCCGCGTTTGCAGCAGCAACGGCAACAATCGATGCAGAACGAGTCGACTTCCATTCAACGCGTTGCAACATAAACACGTCGCTCACGATCTTCACACACGAGGCACAAAACTGCCCGCCATGGCAGATCTGCCGGACCTCCCAGGCAGAGGCACCTACTTGACAAACCCGGAATGCCTTCAAACTCTGTCCTGCACCGACCACGAGTTTACACTTCTTAGAGATGCTGTACTGTCAATCGGTACAAAGCCCAGCTTTGATGGCAAAACGCTCTTTGACCAGGACCTTCGGAAATTTGACTCTTTGGGGCGACATCGGCGGAAGCTGTGGGCTGAAGTCGAGAGGAGCAACCCGCTCTTCGCAGAACTGCTCGCAGGCAAACGACAGAATTGCGATGCAAAGACGTGGTCAGAATACGTTACCAGGGTCAAGTCAGCCATAATACACATCGTGGTAAAGCCATTGAGGAAGAAGATAGCTAGCACCAACGGCGCGAAGTCGATACCGAAAAAGCGCGGCAGCACATCCGAAGTGATCGATCTTGACAACGACACGGAGCATGCGAATGAGCAAGTGAAGGAACTCGATACCACGCTCGGGTCAGAAACCAGTGGACGCCCTGAAAAGAGACCAAAGCTGTCTTCGCGGATCCCGGACGCGCCTGAGATCTCCCTATCTGCTAGCAGGAATACCACTCCACTTCGTAAGAGTGTTAACTCACTGGAAGGGGCCGAAGAGATCTTGGATGACGATCAGCGTCACTCTAAGGAGATACTTCCCCCTCACGACCAGTTCTCCGACGAATGCGCCAGCGGCTTCGCAAACAAGATGATGCAGCTCGTCAAACAGCATCTAGAACAGCGTATCGCAGATCTGGAGGACACCTTCGAAGCTCGTGTAGCAGTACAAGTCACAGCAGAGCGAGCAGAAATCGCCGAGGAGCGCGCAGAGCAAGCAGAAGAGCGCAAAAATCTGGCTCGCGTCGTAGAAGAGCAGGTGAAAGAAAGAGTCTCTGCAGAGAAGCAGAAATTGGAATCTGCCATCATGGGAGAAGCTGAAGCTCAGGTTGCTGCCGAGAGGAACGAGATTGGCATTCTGGTCGAGCGAGAAGTGCAAATGAGACTGCCAGAAGAGAGGATCAAATGGGAAGAGGCAGTTGCAAAGCAGCTGAAGAGCTTATTCTGAAGCAGATGGCAGTGTTTTCCGCAAGGAAATGCCGAAACGTACGCACGTGCAAGCCAGAGTCAGCCAAGTGAAGGCAGACTGGAGGACTGAAGGCAACGGTACCTCACTGGCTATCTAGCTGCAATTGGAATTCTGATCAGATTGACATTGGTCTTGTAAGAAAGCATTCGCTGCACGACCTGCATCTGAAGGCATCAGTAACAATGAGGTTGCCCCATTGCGCTCAAACGCGCCGTTGAAAACAATGCACCCTGCACCAAAATGATTGTGTTTGCATCTCGCGTGCTGCATAGCGCCATGTTGGCGTTTGCAGCTACAATTGCAACGACAAGCGTGTCGGCTTTCACTCTCACTCATCAACATTGCAATACTGCATTCGCCATGTCGACCTCACCACACGGCGCGGTGAAGCACACCGCATCGTCCCTTCCACCCTTCAAAGGCAAGGGGAACAGAGGCTGGCTCTCCAAGGCAGAATGCCAACAAGTTCTAGCTTGCGCCAATACGGAATACGACATGCTTCGGCAGCAGATCAAGTTGACCGGCCAGCAGCAAATCTTCGGGGGTAAAGCGCTGCTTCGCCAAAACTTGAATGATTTCGACCCAGATGGCGCTCACCGCGCGCGCCTTTGGGCTGAAGTCGAAAGCAGCAGCCCCCTCTTCGCGGAACTGTTCTCTGGCACTCGCCAGAACTGTGACTCATCGACGTGGAACCAATTTCTCGGCAGAGTCAAATACAGTATGCTCAAAAACTTGAGCAAAAGATCAGAGAGCGCGTACAGCGATGACTCAGAATTCACGGACACGACGCAAGGTACGATCTCGTCCGGCGGAAAGATGTCGTCGATTCCTAGCAAGCGATCCAGTGGATCTGAAGACTTCGACTTCGACTTGCACTCCAGGCCCTCAAGAAAGCGCTTCGAAACATTCAAAGTCAGAGATCGTGACGATGGCTTTCCCAATCATGAAGATGAGGTGTCTGCCGACGAAGCCATGTCCGATTCGGAGGATGTTATCGCTGTCGCTCCCAGGAAGTCGAAGCCACTGAGAAAACATTTCCAGGTGTCCACTGCCCCTTCTGCAAACCCTGCCAGCTCCATTCCGCTGCCCGGGAGCACCGCTCTCTTCGCCGAGCCTGATGAGCTGTCCATTGACAACCGACACTCTTCTGTCGAGACCCCGGGCCGTCATGGCCAGCCCATCACACGAAGCGTGGGAGTCGAGGTTCAGCAACTGTTCAACCAGCGTTTGGACGAACGCACAGCAGCGTTGGGCCTCGCGTACGACGCTCGTCTCACACAACAACTCGGAGCAGAGCGCGAGAGACTGGCTGCTATCTTCGAGGATGCAGTTCAGAGAAAAGCCCTGCAAGAAATCCAGAAGCACGAATCTGACCGTGAGAAGGAGGCTGAGGCCAAAATTGCTGCTTGCAAGAAAATATACGAGTCTATGATCATCGAAAAGGAGGCTGAGGTTGCTGCCGAGAAGATGGAGTTCGACTCTATCATCAACGGGAAGGAGGCCCAGTTCGCTGCTGAGAAGAACAAGCTGGAATCCTTCATCGAGGAAAAGGAAGCCCAGCTTGCCGCAGTGCACCGCAAGTGCGAAGCATTTATCGAAGAAAGGGAAGTTCAGCTCGCTGCCGAGAAGACGCAGTTCCAAGCTGACACCAAGGCTGAGGCTGAAGCTCAGATCGCTGCGGCGAAGGCGCAGATCGACTCTATGGTAAAGGAGCAGGTACAGAACGCAATGAAGGAAGAGAAAGCCAGAATGATGGAGTTCTTGCAAAGTATGTAAAATCGCTGCGAAGCAAGTGTCAGCGATGGTGGCTCTGTTATCTGGTGCAGCGCCGCAGTTGCACTGTTGTCCTTCGAAACTTTGGCAGTGACTACCTTTTAGTGGAGGAAGCGAGTTGGAAGCGCGAGGCTTCTTGCTGCTGCTACGTCCTTTTTTTGGTGACCTTGTACATACACACTTGGAACAGATAGCAGCACTCAACAGCGAACTCGTTCAATACAGCATTCTGTGAGTCAGAAGTGTGCTTCGTGAACAGCGCCTCTCAGGCTGCCTGTTCTTCCACCGCTATCATCAGCCTTCACATCCAACTCGCCCACCACACTATCCACATCCTTCCCTCAGTTCCGGAGTCGTCAGAATTTCCGTTGACAACCACCTTCCCAGATCACACCATTATTACTTGCGCGACACATCACCCACGCACCGAACACTCCAAGCGATCCGCCATGAACCCCAGCAACTTCAGCCCGGCCGCACTCCCTTGGATGCCTGGCAAGATGAAATCATGCGACCTTTGCAGTCAATGGTTCAGAGTGGGCGAGGACATCAGTCAACACGAATGCGTTCCTCCTAAAGCCAACGAGCCAGACATCAAAATCAAGCAAGAGCCCGTTGAGGCTGGCAGCTCTGAGAGTCCGCCAGTCAGCCCAGTCACCAGTCCTACCTCCGCAGAGCGTCCAGGTCGCAGAGGCAAAGCGAGAGGATTCGAACTACTTGCTGATTCTCCTGCCACGCGTAGCAACGGGGAAGAAGGTACAAGCGAGGATTCCAACCCCGAAGGAATCACAGACACTGAAGACTGGACTACAGATTACCCTTCTCGACTTTACGGCCCAGATGGATCCCCTTTACCATCACAACGCACTGGAAGACGTGCGCCTCCGGCATCTGGACCTTCTCCCAGCCAAGGAAAGAGACCAAGTCCAAACTCAGATCGCGCCAACAACAAGAGAAACCGTCCTTCTGCAGAATTTACCTTCTCTCCACCACAAAGGACTGGACGTCGTGGACCGAGAGGAGCTGCTCGACCATCGCTTGACAGCAACGCGGCGGCGGCTTCATCGCCAAATCCTCCTGCCCAGCGACAAGCTCCGGAAGTCGAAGTGGCTCAAGCAGTCTCGCGCATGGTCCAATCTAGGGTGGATGTCGTAAGTCACAACGAGCGCCTTTATGTTGAGCGCATGATTGCCAGCAAGCTCGACGAGTATCGTCAGAACGAAGCGACTCGGTTCCATGCAACTCTTGTTGCGAAGTGGAGAGCAAATTATCAGCAGGTGAGAGATTCTGAGCTCTGCATGAATTCTACTGTTCCCTTTGGACTGGGAGAGCTTATGTTTGACTGTGCAGACTGTGACCGAATTGACGGATGAGAGGTTCAATCATCGGTGGGAGGAAATGAATGATGGCTTCAAAATGACTGGTCCAATCCTCAAGATTGTGAGAGAGGCGGTCGACCAGAGATTCAATGATCGCGTGAAGCAATTGGGTGACAAGCGAGGATCGGAGCAAGGTCTGGGCGAGGTGAAGGACGAGGTCAAGGATGAGATGCAAAGGAGGCTGAAGATGCATGAGAGAAATCCGATCCTGGAGCAGCTGATTGGGACTCAGCCCGTCAAGAAGAAGTCGATCGAGCGTGAGGCAACGAGTGTTTCCAAGGACGAGGATGATGAGCCTGTTGAGCGCGGTCGCAGCGAGAAATGAGCCTGTGACGGATGAAGGCGAAGAGTTGCTGATTTCGCAGAATGACATCGAGGGATGGGAAGAGGGCTTGCAGAGACAGGCGAGCTGTTGGGAGCTGATGCACGCATAGGTAGTATTGTTATTGCTAAGCTGAGTTGAGTCGTTCGATACCTTGCCATTCTCTTCGCTGAGATGCCCAGCTTCATCACACTGGAAGACGTCTGTCTGCAGCAATGGCAGTGCACGATCGATTCAGCACAGACAGTTGCGAGAATGCGATACAGTATGCGAAGTGGTGCCGGATTGGTGTTGCGACACAGACCGTGTCTTATCACGGACGTTGGTTGTCAAAACAGGACGGCGGAGCAGACTCCTTGACCGCTTCAGACGGCGCTCTCGTACAACTCGGCTTCCAAAATGCCGGCGTGCTGACGAGGTGCGCGGCAGGCGTGGCGGGCAAGAGCTCTCAGCTGAGGATGATGAGGCTATCCTGGAAGCGGCAGCATCACGTTGGCAGTGCATTGTGCGAAAGATGCAACAAAGTGGTCAGCACGGTGCAGGAAGCCCAGCCTCGGATCGCGCCGAACTGGGCCACTGCCTGTTCTCAATGTGATTCTCGTGCGGCCGTGGTCGGGAGAGGCGAGTTGCCGGATCATCCAGTGTAGACAGCGAGAGGCAGCAGGATTTTGCAGCTCCTCATACGCGATGATGCTGGCAGAGTGGAAGAAAAAGAGCTGCGTTGTGCAATGGCAATGGCTGTGCAGGCTGCTATTTTGTGCTGCTGCAGTAGTCGGGTGGCGACGAAGCGTAGGGTTGCCTTAGCGCCGTCGCGAGCAAGGGTGAAACGCGAACCCTGAATTGAATGCAGCAGCAGAACAGCAACAACTACAGACGCCTGCGCCCACTCTCCTTCTTCCATACCCTTCGCGACTTTGAGACATTGCACAGGCTCGACCCCGCCTCGTCTGTATATCACTTCCCATTTCCATTGTCCGCGAGCCAGCACGCGCAGCAGCATTCCACGGGACGGAAGGACAGGCAACCGCGAGCGGGCTCAGGAGTCGACCACCGGACTGCCACCACGCACGCCAGCGGCACAGAGTCAGGCGCCAGGAATTCACATCAGCATGGCTGTGAGTAAGCACTTCATCATGTGCAGCAAGATGGCGGGGCGCAAGAACAACAACATAATACCACCACCCAGGCACCCGTTGTGTTGTTGTTGTTGTGCTTCCCACCTCCCACGCTGCCACTTCGAGCCATGAACGAGCGAGAACGCGCACTGACAGCGACATGGCGACACAGTACAACAACACATATGGCGGCGGTGGCTACGGCCAAGCCAACCCATACGATACCGACAGCAGCGGCTATGGCCAACCTCCTCCAGCCTACGGCGGCGGCGTCGAAATGCAACCCCTCGCACACAATGGCGCTCCGTACTCGAACGAACAACCCCAACGCGACCCCAATCAGATCCTGAACGATTGTCGCGCCGTCGGCCGAGCCATTGACGACCTCGAGAGCCGCTTGGGAGAACTGCAGAGACTACAGCGATCCTTCATCTCCAGCGCCGGCGTCTCTAACAAAGATGTCGACGCCCTCAGCGCAGATATCATGTCAGGATACCGTGGATTGGCAGATCGCGTGAAGCGCATCAAGGGACAACCAGACGCAGGCAACCCAAGAAACAAACCACAAGTCGATGCGCTTGACCGAAGGATACGAAAGGCCATTCAGTCTTACCAGCAGACCGAAGCCGCCTTCCGCAAAGAGGTGCAAGAGCAGCAACGTCGTCAATATCTCATCGTGAAGCCAGATGCGTCAGAAGCGGAGATTCGCGAGGCAACAGAGGCGGGCGGTGATACACAAATCTTCCAGCAAGCTCTCATGCAGTCGGATCGCAGAGGCCAAGCCAACAGCACATTGCGCAATGTCCAACAGCGACACGATGCCATTCAGCAGATTGAAAGGACCATGATTGAATTGCAACAACTGTTCCAAGATCTGGATGCGATTGTTGTTCAGCAAGAAGCTGCCGTTATGGATATTGAGACCAAGGCCGAGGAGACCTATACTCACATCGAGGCGGGCAATGTACATCTGGACAAGGGTGTCAGCAGTGCTCGTGCCGCGCGGAAGAAGAAGTGGATTTGCTTGGGTATTTGTGGTGAGTATCAAGTCTTTCTGCTTGTCTCTCTTTCAGCCGATACTAACACAAATCATAGTCGCCATCATTCTCGTCATCGTCCTCATCATCGTCATCTACGGAGCCACACAAGGGTGGTTCAAGAGCGACAACAACAACAACAATAACAACAACACGACCAATGCATAGATTCCCGGGGATATGAGCTGGGCTCATTCATCATCAGATTGGACATGGGGAGGGCGTGTAAAATTACTTTTTCAGTTTCCTTTTGTGTTTGCGTGTGTGCGAGATACCAGAGTACGCCTATTTCTCTTTTCTTCTTATTTCATTTCTCCTTGATGTCATGAGATGAACAGAGCTCGCTGGGTACTGGTACTACTACTACTATAACAACAGAACAGAACAGAAATAGTGTGTAATACAGGGGCGGAATAAGTCCTGAAAGAGGTCTTTGCTTACAAAGACGAAAGACTTGTCTTGTGCGTATCACTTAAGACCCGTGGTGGACTGATGACACTGCGCTGCCTCTTCCACGCTATAGAAGCCCGAGAGGTCTCAAACTCTGCATCGGGAAATGCCCAGCTACATGGAAGAGCCATGTTATTAGGGAACTCACCCAGCAGTCGGATGGCGCGGAGCTGCGACTTGATTACTATCTACTGATATCAAATCTGGACCCCGTTCCAGCTGGAACCATCGCTTCAAGACGCAACATAGGCTGCTGCTACATTACCCACAACTGCAATGACCAACGTACCAGCTCTTGACCCAGCGACCGTTTTGGCCGTTGCAATCATCGCACTTTCCCTGCTACTCATCTCTTCCTACCTCACTACGAATGACTGGACTCAGTCCATTCCTCAAGCGCCGCAAGCACCCATATGGCGCCGTTTCTTCATCGAACCAGACCACGACCAGCGAAAAGCATGGGCAGACAGCGTCCCCAATTCCGGTCTGATCCTCTATCGAGGCATGTTCAACAAGCCCAAAATCTTGCTCACCACTCCAGCAGCCATTCAAGAAGTATACCAAAGAGGAGCAGCAAACTCTAGGTACCAGAAAGCAACTATATCCCGAAAAATCCTATCCTCACTTCTGGGCAACGGGCTCGTGACGGCTGTAGGCGAAGACCACCAGAAGCAACGGAAACTTCTCCAACCGATGTTTACACGCCGACAGATCAAGAATCAGTATCCGCTCTTCTGGGCCAAACCCAAGAACTTGTCAATCTATTGCACAAGGCAGCAGCGACGGACAGCAGAGTCGAAATCTCAGAACTCATAAATCGCACCACGTTAGACATTGTCGGACAAGCAGGCTTTGGTCTTGACTTCGACTGTCTCGCAAATCCGGACAACGATCTTTGGAAAGAATACGCTGCTGTCTTCCGAGGCGAAGGAAATGGGGCGAGAGCAGGACTGGCATGGACAATGCTCGCGCACCTTTTGCCCGGGAAAATCGTGGAGAAGTTTCCGACGAAAAGAAATGAGCAGACTGCTAAAGCGGTAGAGGTAGTACGACGGCGAATCGGAGGGGTGATTGCGAAGAAAAAGGCTGAGATCCTCGCGTCAGCGGAGGTGGGAAGGAAAGATAGTATAGTTGATCGAGACGAGGGGGAGGAAGCTTCGAATCTGTCAAAGGCTGCTATAGGAGAAGGGCACAACGACATCATCTCCGCGTGTATTAGTGAAGGCGGCATCACGGATTTTGAAATGCTAGTAAACCAAGCACTGGGAATCCTCGGAGCAGGCCACGAAACCATCGCCCAAACGATATGCCTAGCAATCTTTGAGCTAAGCAAAGACAAAACGCTGCAAACTCGTGTCCGCGCAGAAATCAAGGAGCATATCCAATCAAAAGAGGACTCCTCCTCTCTCGCAGCCACTCATCTAGACCTCATCACCTCCATCCCACTCCTTACCGCAATCTGCAACGAAACCCTCCGCCTACACCCTATCATCCCCGCCCTAGCCCGCGAACCCACACCCTCCGTAAACCTCCTCGGCCACCAAATCTCCCAAGGCACAGTCCTTATAATCGTCCAGAAAGTCTTCAACCACAACCCCTCACTCTGGTCCCAAGACCCATCCCAATTTCTCCCCACCCGCTGGATTTCCGATCCCACAGGAGGAGCAAAAGAGCGTTTGGCGTTTATGACGTTTGGAGAAGGACCGACGATGTGCATTGGAGAGAAAATGGCAAGAGCTGAAATGGCGATTGTGTTGGCGGGTTTGATAAGGGAGTTTGAGATGGAGTATGTAGGGCAGGGGAGGGATGGGCAGAGGCAGAAGTTGGAGTTTGATTGGGGGGGTTGTGTTGATGATTAAGGGGGGTTGTGGCTGAGGTTGAAGCCAATCGTTTCGTAGGGTTGCTATATCTCTCGTCCGTGTGAAGACAGAAAGAAAAAGATCATCTCATCTGCAAATTCGTCTTACAAAGATTTTGGACATGTACAAAGAAAATCACCAATGCAAATGACGAACGATCTTCTCCAGCTTCCCTCTCATCCAGACACCCTCCAATGCGAAAGATGATGATCATCAACCTGATGCGGCGCGCCCCAACTCTGCCACTTCTCCACCCACTTCCTCCTCGCCTCATAATTCTTACACTTCCTCGTACTAGCACTCATATCCGTAACATTCAATCCATCAGCATTCGTCACAAAAGGCCAAAGTTCCAAACTCGCCTCACACATAATCATTTTCCGCAAAGCATCCACACAATGCGAAACGTGATCGATGATGGCTTGTTCTTGGCCTTCGGGGACGTTGAAAGATGTCATGTGGATGCTGCGGTAGTAGTCGTAGTTGAACCAGAGGGATTCGCGGAGGAGGTTGACGCAGTGGATGTAGTGTGTCATGGCGACGTCGGCGGAGTAGCCGCTGTAGAGGGCGTAGTCCCCGTCAGAGGGCGTGTAGCGGAGGTGTTTTCCTGGAATGAAGTTGAAGTCTGCGGCGTATTTGTCGGGGAGGAATGCGGGTTGGTCTGTGATGATCAATGAGTTATTGTGGTTAGCTACTGAGGGAAAGATATGATGAGGATGGTGGGCCGTAGGGGAGTTGAACGCAGACTTACAGAATGCACCGATTTTGATCCATTCTTCTTCGACCTTGTCGCCGGCGACTGATACGGGCTGAGAGAATTTCGATGACGATAAGTGGACTGCTTCGAAGTCGTTTGGGTAGCGGCCGTCGTCTACTCCTTCGAAGAAGGGATCTGTCTCAAGTATTCAGTTGGACATATCTCTCCTTCACTGTCGCTGCAACCGAACTTACGTAGTTTGGATTCTCTGTCAAGCTGTGATGTGATTTTCGAGTAGAGAGCTGCGCAGAGCATCAAGGTGACGACGTTCATCGCTATTGACATTCCTATGATAAAACGCATTTTCCAGATCGAAGGCTTCTTGTAACGATGCGGATTGTCATCTTCTTTCGACTCGCCATGCGTGAGCGATGCTTCTTCTGCTTCGTCATGGTAGACTGGTGATGTGAGGCGATGGTATCCCATCTTCTGATCGCGTTCATACAGTTCTATGCTTTGACCTTTGCGGCGTTGGTGTTTGAGAGGCAGGGAGGCAATTGCTGTAGAAGGCACGAAGCCCAAAATTTGTGGGCTCCAAAACTTGGGGAAACTTCCATTCGGGGAAATTCTTCTCTCTTCCAACTTATTCTTCAAATCCCAGCACCATCATCTTGCACCAAACCCGGATTGTCCATAAGCGACCATTCGGTCTGTGTGGGGTTCCAGACCTAAGTGTGTTCTAGGGCTCACTTACAAGTCCTGGGGATGTCGGGGAAACTCCGCTGAAAAGCGGAGGCAGCGTGACCGAGTGCGAATCCATGCCGGCGGATTTCTGGGCGACGACCAGACGTGTTTACCCGTGAAGAAGTCTTCTCGAGTTGCTGGGCCGTCCACTCGCTGCTTCATCTTCTCTGGCCCATCGATTCCACCTTCCTTGCTGGGGTGAATTGCAAGACCGAATCTATTCCCACACGGTTGCACGACGGGACAGTGTCATACTTCAGACCAGCGCTTGCCTTGACTACTAAGTCCGTCTCGAATCAACTGGTCAGACACGCTGGCGCGGCGGTTGTCCTCGGCCGTCTTTTGTTGCGGCGAAACATTTTTAGTTCTGGCGAGAGTCAACAAGCGTGGATGCTAACTGTTACAGGATGCTGCACCTTCCGTCCTTAGAGCAACCCACGTCTTGGGTCACTGGGAAGTACGATGTCCCCGAGTTGCGACCCATCTCCAACTCGGCAGTTATCTCCTGGAGAATGGAGGAACCCCATGGTTTTATCTAGTGGTTCTGGGGCTCGGAAGACGCACTTGCGTGCGCATGTGAGCTCCACTACACGAGAGCAGATGGCGATTCACTTGGAAAGTTCAGGCTTTTCCGAACTGGTCTTTGGTATTTCTACCCGTCGTGTACGGTGTCAGTCGTCACACTAGATCCTAGACTCTTCACCGCCACTGAAGGATGAGGCTTCGTGACCTTTGGGAGCTCTCCTGGCCTCATCGCTCATTTACGCGATCTTTCGCTACCATCGCTTAAACTTGTGACAAGAGCAAGAGCCGGCTTGCCGTGGTTGATTGAGGTAGGCAACAAGTCTAGTAGAAGGCCTTAGTCGACTTAGGGCCCGTCGTTAGCTGGAACAGCAGATCAGGTACTGCATAACGGGGTTAGACGGCCGGAAGTCAAGCAGGGCCATGAAGAAAAGTGTCTGAGCAGACGAAGTCAGAAGCAGCATGTATCGCCGAGAAGTGGTCAGTCGAGATCGATGAGAGCCAAAACAGCCGTCGAAAAATGTCTATAAAAGAGAGCATCTCCTTCAGCTGAGATCATTCTTCCTGCAAGCTCCAGTACTCATTCTCGAACACAACACATCAGTACCCCGTACAAGTCGCTACCATGAAGACTCAAACCCTCCTCTTGACTATGGCCGCAGCTGGCGCTATGGCAGCGCCCGTTGAGCGTAAGTTGCCACCGCTTTATATGCAACCAAAATTTCGTAAGAGTACATCCGGCTAACGTGGTTGCAGTGAAGCGCGAAGCGCAGAACCCCTTCAACCCAAACTACCTTTCGCTATACTATTAGGAGAAGGAGAAGCGTAAGGCTCAGAACCCCTTTAACCTAAACTACCTTTCGCTATACTACTAGGAGAAGGAGAAGCGTAAGGCT